GGGATCCCCGCCGCAGGGGTCTCGGGGTGAAATCCCTACCCCAGCTTGGGCCCTGGGGCTCCGCGCGTGACAACCCTGGCGGCAACCAGCTCCTCGGGAAGGGGAGTTGACCAGTCCATCTGGCTGAGTTGCAAACAGCTCAACTGATAAAGGGAAGAGGACTTTCCACAAGTTTCCAGCCAAGTCTCATTGATTGATCATAACGATATCGTGGAAATGCTGCGCGAACCAAAATATATAAAAACAGAAAGCCTCCGGCCTTTATACTGAACCAAATTGAGCCCGGAATCTAAGTGAAACAGATCATAAGTTCAAATCGAGCCCGGAATCTAAGTGAAACAGATCATAAGTTCTAATCCTGACTGAATCAGATGGATAAAAGAACCAGGAAGGGAAGTTAACCAGCCCATGTGCCTGAGTGGCAAACAGCGTAACTGTCAGCAAAGTTGAATAGATCGTAAGTTCAAATCCGGATGGAATCAGATGGACACAAGAATGCGAGGAGCTGCCACCTTATTAAAACAACCCCCCCCCCCCCAAAAAAAAAGAGACAAAAAAATATCAGATGGAAGTTAACAACAAAGATGAGGGAACATGTTCCAAGTTGGACCTAACTGCCTCAGGTGTTAGCTAACCCAATGTTACACAAACGAGACATCAACGTTTATTGCAGTGTGTGTGTCAAATTGTCTTAAGGGATTGTGGGACAGCACCGGCCATAGAACTATGCATGGCTCTTTTCTTGTTTCCCTCCGGCCAGCCATTTGCGTTAAGCCACCAGCACATTTCCCAGCCATTTCGATCTACGCGGCAGAAAAGTGGGTGCATCCTTCAAGGCGTGGCCTACCGGACTGAAACAGCTGGCGGCGTCAGGGAGGGGGGAAGGGCACCCAAGCCAATTTCTTTTTAATTGGCATGCGGCAGAAATACGCACCAGGAAAAAGAGGCTCGGAGGCACCGGTGGTTTAAACCACCAAGCTAAACTGACGAAACAAAAAGTGCACTCCGCCGAACTTAGAAGAGGCAGCTACCGCTACTGGAAAATTTGGCATGGTACCAGTAGCGGCCTCTGTATCGTTGAAAAGTCTGGGCCTTGCACAGACATTTTGGGACCTGCAGTTGCTATACATCCGTTGTACTACCAGCCCTGGGTCAAACGGCCTAGTGGCGGTACTCGCATAGGAAAACGGATGAAAAGTAACTTTAAATGCACTGGTGGTTTAAACCACCAGTTCACCCGTACCTAATTTGACAAACCAAAAAAAACATTTTTCCAACCCTAAAAGTGCTCGGCACCACCGCGTGGCAAATTTAGGGTGGTACCCGTACCGACCTCTCTGAAAACTAAGTGTTAAACCTGCGGCCACCCGATGGAACGAAAAGGTGGCCGTACCTCGTTTCTTCGACTTTGTTTTCACTCATGTAATTCTCTTTTCTTTTCTTCTTTTTTCGTTTCCCGCCCTGCCAGAAAGGCAGGGCGCAGTGGGCTGAGATTTCTATAGATTCGGCCTGTGAGGTCAATCCGTACAGTACTCCACGAGTGAAATATAGACTGAAGTTTGAATCCACGAGGCCGCTGAAAGAAATGGGATAGTTCTGAATACCAGGGGCCGACAGTTCAATGATGATAACTCCAGGCCTTTCAAATTTCACAGAAAAAAGAAAAGAGAAAAAGGGAGACCCGGCATACTCACGCCAGGAACTTCTTTCCTATAGATGTTGAAGTGATTGCTGTCCGATTCATCCATGTTAGACTGTAATAGCAGCCAGATACATTTAGCGAACTACCAGTGTGAGTATGCCCTCATTATGACTGCACCAAACCCGAGAGACACGGGTGTCTTCATCCCGAATCAGGGCACATTCACTTTTCTAGATGTATCTGACAGCTATGACGGTCGCACCTTCATGAATCTGACAACAACCACAAACGGAGTGCGGACTCACTTCACCACTTCCGTTTCTGAAAAAAAAAAAACAGAAACTATGACAGCGCCTAGCTTTCCAATCCACGCGCACGGGGTACCCCACGGCGCCCAGAATGATGCTCGGGGCGCTCAGCTGGGAGACCCCCCCCGTCGGCCTCCCGGACCTCCCCCTCGCCAAGGCCAAACGGACCTCAAAAAAAAAAAAATTGTGCCGCGGTTGGTTGGCCCGGAGGCCAAACGAAAATTTGGCAGTCGCTCTTTTTTTTTCAGGACCAGTAAGGCCACATTTCACAATTTTTTTTTTTGCAATCTGGGCCGTTGATTGTCCAAGATCAGCAGTGCAGGGCAGCTCCAGGTTTCAAATTCGAAACTTGGCCACCCCGCCCAAGCCCGTGGTCCGCCCTGCCAGCCGTGCCCTGCCCCACCCGCGAGATCGCATGTGGCAGTCATCACCACACTGCAGCCGCCATCTTCACCTCTGCTGTGTAACCACCTCCACATGCCGTCCTCACCTCTGCTGCGCCATTCTTACCTCCGCCGTTGGAGACCATTGTGCCACGCACGAACGGCGTGAAGGTCAGCTTTTTTTTTTATCCTCTTGTTCTTCTTTAGTCTTTCTTCTTCTTCTTAGTCTCCTTTCTCTCCGTCTTCATTTCTAGTAACTTTCTACTTCTTACTAGTCCCTGCTTCTCTTCTCAAGTTCCTATTCTTTTTCTTTGTTTCATTTTGTCGTTCCTTGTTTCTCCTTCTTCTTGTTCTTCTTCATTGGCATCTACAGTGTAACCTTTTTTTTGCCTGGGTGCGCTTCGTAGCCCGCTACTAGTCACTTAATGCACTTTCTCTCTCCACCAATTTGCCTCCTTCCTCCTCCTTTCATCTCCATCGCCGCCCTCCCCCGTTTCTCTCGATCTTTTCTCTCCTCCCCCCCTGTCCATCGCCTCCCTCCTCCCTCCTCCGCCATACCTTGCCTCCTCCCTCCTCCCTCCCTCTCCAGCATACCCTGCCTCCTCCCTTCT